CTCTTCTCAACCAACAAGACAATTCGGTTATTCACGGTGATTCAGTTCTATTGCGTTCTTTCATTTACCATGATCGAGGGAGCGCACATTTTTTCCTATTTAATGATTATTTTTTCAGAGATTCCAACCTACAACGACGATATTTTCCGCCGGAGATATCATATGTCACGGTCTCTATTCCTTCGTATTATTGAAGCTATTGAAAGTTATGACAACTATTTCATACAACGGAGAGATACAATGGGTAGACTTGGATTATCTTCTCTTTAAAAAATAACGGTGGTGTTCCGATTGCTTGCATATGGTCTCCCTGCAGATGCCAATTAACGATTATTGAAGTATGAAAAGATTTTGTCGAGCCATTGTCAATATTTTTTTGGAAAATATTTACGGTCACCAATGTCTAGTGGTATTGCTAGACTTATTTATATTGGTGAAAAACGAAGGTTTCCCAGAATGCTTGGTAGTTCAGACTGCATGCACTGGAAGTGGAAAAATTGTCCTACCAGTTGGACGGGACAATATGCAGGCTGTAGTGGATCACCAACTATAATTCTTGAAGCGGTTGCAGATTATGATCTTTGGATATGGCATGCATATTTCGAAATTCCGGGCACTAATAACGACATCAATGTGTTGGACTCTTCTCATCTTTTCTCCAATCTTGCTCAAGGAATTGATCCTCCTGGTCATTATTTAATTCAAGGAAAAGAATATCATACGGTTACTATTTGGCGGATGGTGTATATCAAAAATGGTCGACCACAGTGCAAACTATTCAAGAGAAAATAAGTCAAAAATAGAAATATTTTGCAACGCAACAAGAAGCATGCAGGAAAAATGTTGAATGTGCATTTGTAGTTCTACAATCGCGCTTCGCTATTGTGAAAGAACCTGCTCATTTTTGGAAAGAATTATGCTACATGACATCATGACTACATGTATAATTTTACATAACATGATAATTGAGGATGCGTGTGAACTCGATGCACCAACTGAACTTGGAAGAGAAGCTCCACCTCCAGATATCAAAATTTCCGATTTCAAAATTTTCTTGCTCGATTTAGGAGTATCAAATATAAAGAAGCTCATTGATGTACCATGGATTTTACCAAATATTAGCCATGGTATATAAGTGTTTTAAGATATATTTATTAGGTTTTGGAGTCTCTTTAGAGTATTTACAGGTTCAGGTACGTTCTGGAGAAATATTGTGATTTTGGTGTCTTTCGGAGTCTTTTGAATGCAGAACTTCACAGATGCAGTAGATATTTAGCTATGGATGAAGACTTTACCACCGTTAGATTTCACCCATATCTTGACAAAAGATAGAGCTTTGAGTTACCTTTCCAATTCCATCGGTTTAAGGTTAATCAGCATCCTTTAGCAGAAGTTATGCCCGTTTTACTAAAGAGTGGTCAGTCTTCCTTGCGAGAGGAAGCTGTCGAGAAGATAAAGGAGAATCGATCGATGCAACACTACTTGTGTCGATCGATGGAGATCCCAGAACACGGGCCGAGTATTCAAGACCGACTTGAGCCCATGAGTTACCACAAATTATCAGAATGCCCTTGGACGACCAGAAGTCCTATTTATCTGTTTTGTAAGCCATTGTTGGCTGTTGGGGATTACCTAAGATTTATTCTATTTTCTTGTTCTTAGTTCTAGGAGAGAAGGGAGGAAATCCTATCAGAGTCCTTCTGGAACTCCTTTGGTTCTTTGGTTTTCATATCTATTATATTTTATACCTATTTTACATCTATTCTTTCTATGATTTCTATGACAAACTTCATGCTAGATTAAATCCACATGTTAGGTTTATGGTTCTCATTTGGTTGATCTATGTATTAATTTTATGACTGCTGATAAGGTGTTTTAAGATTGTTCTTCAAGCCTAGTTAAGCTTAGCACTTGATTTAGGATTGATCACCCTTACATCTAAACCCTAGGATTAAATTGAGTCAAATAGTTATTACTCATTACCTGAACGCTAACTAGCTTGATCTAACTAACTAGATTCATACGACAGTTGGTCTAGAGAGTTAGAGAATAATAATAACCTATTCGTAAAGCTTGCTAGAAGAGTAGTCAATCGTCGCGAGCATCCTCATATCTATCGATTACTTGAAAGGTGTATCGATCGATTGTCCATAAGGATAATCGATCGACTCTTTTTTGTGATCAAAATACGAAAGTTGAGATCCAAGATCTAGACAAGGAAACCTATTTGGTTTCGTCATTTATGTTTAAATTCTTGAACAGTTAAAACCTTAAAGTCAAAAATCAATTGCATATTGATACCTGATATAATGCCTAAGTCTAGCAACCATCTTTCCAATAAACAACCCCTTGCCAAGCTGAACATTGTCTTGTTCATCTTGTTTACTATTTCATTGTAATTTACTATATTTACTGCTTTATAATATATTTATTGTTTTATTACTTATTCATCTAGATTATTCATAGCTATTAGATCTAATTGGTTCCCTAGCTCCTCATGATTCGATTCCTAAGTACTACAACTGAATCTATTATTTGAGAGAGTAATTCACTCCTTAGGGTATTTTAGTGATATCACTCATTTTTCATTACAAAATGAATTAGTTGATCTTTTGTGGGGAAAATATTCTAGTGTTTTATTGTATTTTTATGACTTCTTGTACTTTTTAATAATAAATGCTTAATTTAAATAAATTATATTTTAAGGTTTATTTTTATAAAAATAAAATAGTTGGGATTAATTGGTAAATTTTTATAAATATAAAGTATTATTAACAATTATTTATGAACAATACTTGGGTTCACCCCTGAGGTGAATGGTTAAATTCACCTCACCTCTTATACCCAATAGAATTGCCTTGTCAGATTATTTAAAAAAAGAAATATATTAAACTAAAAAAACAATTAGAAAAATTATTGTATGAAAACTCTAACCCCTAAACCATAAACTCTAATTCTAAAAGCTAAACCCTAAATTCTAAAACCTAAATGCCAAACCCTTGATTCTAAACCCTAAACTCTAAACCTTAAACCTGAATTCAAGACTCTAAACCATAGATCATAAATTCTAAACCCTAAACCCGAGATCATAAATTCTACCCTGAATCCTAAACCCAAAACCCTAGATCCTAAAACCTAAACCCAAAAATCTAAACCCTAAACCCTAGATCCTAAACTATAAACCCTAAACCCTAGATCAAAAAACTTAAACCCTAAGTCCTTAAGAATTAAGATTTAGGGTTAGGATTTAGGATCTAGGGTTTAGGGTTTAGAGTTTTGGATTTAGGGTTTAGGGATTAGGATCTAGGGTTTAGGGTTTTGGGTTTAAAGTTTAGGATTTAGGGTTTAGAATTTATGATCTCGGGTTTAGGGTTTAGAATTTATGATCTATGGCTTAGAGTCTAGAAGGTTTAGGGATTAGGGTTTAGGGTTTAGAATCAAAGGGTTTAACATTTAGGTTTTAAAATTTAGGTTTAACTTTTAGTTTTAAAGTTTATGGTTTAGGGGATTAGAGTTTTTCATACAGTAATGTTTCTAACTGTTTTTTTTCATTTAATATATTTTCTTTTTTAAATAATTTGACAAGGCAATTTGATTGGCTATAAGAGGTGAGGTGAATTTAACCATTCACCTCGGGGGTGAAACCAAGTTTATTTCATTATTAATTATTTTGGAGTAAGAAATGGAGTTACATTGGAGTATAACTTTACTTTATTTTGGAGTAAAATATGAAATAATATATTGGAGATGTTTTTAGATAGAAACAGATCTACTTACAATTATTAACTTAGTCTAAACTAAGTCTACTAAAAGTCTCACTTGATAGAGGATAAAAATGTCAAAATACTCTCTTGGGATCTCTTGAGAACATGAAATGTGCTAGATGTTAAACAAAACACAAAAATGTCGTAACTTGTAGTAAGAGCACCACTGCCCATGGCTCTTAGCCATGGTTTTTAAAATTTTCTTTTTTTAAATTCGCGGGTCTCACCACTATCTTAAGAACCACCTCTTATGTGCCTTGTGTAAGAAGATTCTTTTTGGACCAAGTTTAGCCCACGAAGAAGATTCTTTTTGGACCAAGTTTAGCTCAATTGTTTGGCCCAAAAACAACATGCACTGTGTTTTAAAACGGCAAATAGTAAAAAATATCACGCAGTGTATCTTCTCGGATATTTAATGAGAAAAGAGAGAGAGGAATAAGTTTTCGTAACTCAACTTCCTTGACCTTTGCGATATTTTTGCTCATGTGCAACAATTGTTACGAGAAGTGACTTTGTCTTTCCCTTTTAATAAACATATATCTTCTTCTTCATTTTGAACGTTTCCACATAAAAAAACCAGTAAATATTCCACCATAAGTTTCAGAGAGTGTTTCGTAGAGTTTATAGTTTGTTAGGGCTTTTCACAAGTAAAGTGTGATTTGTCTGCCATGGTTATATCATGGGACTCATATTCATACAGTTTTGTCTCACTATGAAACGAATATTAAGAATTAAGGAGCACTAGTATCTCTGATCATCTATTTCCTCAACTTTATCTTTCTAATATATTTTATGTCGATCCGGTTTTCCGGCTTCAACATTAACATCTTTGATCATCCAACGATGGAGATCAACAAGGAACAGGTGGGATGTGTAGCTTTCTATTTAACAGTGATTTAGGCATATATTTAACACTTTACCTGATCAAGTGCTCCTGAGTTAGCCTTTCTGTTATGGGTGACCACATGAAATTCCTGTAGCAACCAGTGGTAGTAACAGCTCGCAATAGCAGCTTCAGCCGTACAATCAACCATAACAGAGGTTGGAATGAAATGATGATTTACTTTCACATATTGGGTTTAGTTAGCATAGAAATAGGGCCAAGGCCAGAGATAACCACGACTTGGATTAAATATACCAATAAAAAGATAACCCGACCCGTAAATGTAACCGGGTCAGTAAGTCGCGTGTTTCTTTCTTCTTCCAGAGCTTTTATCAAATCTCTCCAATCTCTCTCTCACTCAAACGGAACTCTTCCTTCTCCGCTTCAGCCATGGGAACCCTATCTCTCTCATCTTCCCTCAAACCCTCACTCGTTTCATCAAGACTCAGCTCATCTTCTTCCTCCACGTCTTCTTCTTCCTTCCCCAAACCCAACAAACTCTACCTCAAACCCACCAAACTCATTCCACCTCCCTTAAGAACCTCTCCGTCGCCACTGCGATTCGCAAATGCTTCGATCGAGATGTCGCAGACGCAGGAGTCAGCTATTCGCGGCGCGGAGTCTGACGTCATGGGTCTTCTTCTTAGGGAACGAATCGTCTTTCTCGGCAGCAGTATCGACGATTTCGTTGCCGACGCAATCATGAGTCAGCTGCTGCTTCTAGATGCTAAAGACCCTAATAAAGACATCAAACTCTTCATCAATTCCTCTGGTGGCTCCCTCAGGTTCATTCTCCGTCTGGGTTTCTGCAATAATGCTCAAAGTTTCAGTCTTTAAGCTTTACCTGCACGTTAGGTCAGATTATTAGGTCACCGGAGACGAAAGTTTGAGTCTTTTGTACTAAACCCATCTCAGAAAGTTCACATCTTTTTTTTTTTTTTTTTGCTTCAAATGATTTAACTTTATGTTCTGTTTTCATCTGTTTAGTGCAACCATGGCTATATACGATGTAGTTCAACTTGTTCGAGCTGATGTCTCCACGATTGCTCTCGGTATTGCTGCATCAACAGCTTCGATCATTCTCGGTGCGGGAACTAAAGGCAAGCGCTTTGCTATGCCCAACACGAGGATAATGATTCATCAGCCTCTTGGAGGTGCGAGTGGTCAAGCTATAGATGTTGAGATCCAAGCTAAAGAAGTTATGCATAACAAGAACAATGTCACCAGCATTATCGCTGGGTGTACTAGTCGGTCCTTTGAGCAGGTTTTGAAAGACATTGACAGGGACCGGTACATGTCTCCAATTGAAGCGGTTGAGTATGGTTTGATTGATGGGGTTATTGATGGAGACAGCATCATTCCTCTGGAGCCTGTGCCTGATAGGGTGAAACCGAGAGTGAACTATGAGGAGATTAGCAAAGATCCGATGAAGTTCTTGACTCCCGAGATACCTGATGATGAGATTTACTGAAAAACTCAAGCCTCGTCTAGAACCAGGTGAGTTTATCATATGAGACTATAGCTGTTTTCATGTTTGCCTTCATCTTTTGCTATTTAGTGCTGAATAAAATCTTTATCTCTCAAGATAGATAACATCTTAAAACCATTTAGACTGAAATGATCCAGAGGTTATGATATGTACTGAAGAGTAATCTGAAATTTTCTTCTTCTTTTATCTCCAGGCTTTTTCCAATGTGACTGGAGACTGGTAAGTCTAAGCTTATGTGGTCACTGGTTATTAGCTTTGCGAAATCGACATTGCTTGCCTTTGTATCTCATATTATGCTTATTCAGAAATATAAAATTGTTCTTAAAAATCACTCTGTTTTTGAGCATAATGACTAAAAAGATGTAGTTGAATTCATTTGATGTTAATGTCTCTTTTTAGGATTCAAGTAAGTATCAGCATACTTTCTTCCATGGATTCAGACATTGTCGAAGACTTGTTCTCGTAGGGATCAAATTCTCCTGTGGCCCACAAGGAGATCCACTATTCTAAAATAAGCTTATGTCTTTTCCTTTTTATTTTTGATTTAAATTTAAATAAAAACTAAACAAATGGACCAAAAACTCCTAAGCACTTGAGTTTATTACTCTACCTAAAATCTGACCCCTAATCAGACATAAAACACCCGACCCACTATTAACCTAAATCCCCAAATCAAAACACAATTTCATTCCACTTCCCACAATCCAAAATTGTTATTTTTGTTCTTCATCCAGATTTTTATTTTTCTCTTATCCCAAATCGATCACCCAATTATTTTCCTTAATCCATTTCTTATCTGAAATCGAATTTCATCTTCTTTGTGAAAAATTTGCAACAAAGAACATATTGTATTACTAGTACAATTACAACTTGTACAACTAGAACAATTCGAACTAGTACAACTAATATAACTAAAACGAGTATAACTAGTGCAATTGGATTGAGTATAATTAGTACAACTAAAATTTGTATAACTAGTCTAACTGTATAACTAATATGATGATATTTGATTTTTGGTTTTAATGATGCTAAAAAATATAATAATATAAAATCAATGAGACATGTTGGCCTAATACTACTCGTTTGGATGTGTCAAAATATATGAATAGTTTGATTGATTTGAATAATGATTTTTTATAAGTTATACAATTTTTGAAAAAATCATCTTTCATCTTTTTATTCCTGAAACCAAAGAAAGTAGTTGCAGAGCTGGAAAAAGTTGTAGTAGAAATACATTTAGAAGAGTATACCGCAAAAAAATGTAAACATCATGAATTTAAATTCATTGTATACATTATTGTTTCAAAATCTAAAAAGAAAATAATAAATTACATATAAATTTGGATAACTTATGCCAAAATACCTTAACTTAACATATATTGATTTGGATTAAATTTTTGGATTGAGAATCAATAGATATTTCAATTATTTTGAGTATTGTTTTGTATTTTGACATTTATTTTTAACTATTTGTATATATTTTCAAGTATTTTGGATAATTTTAAAATATCTTATATATTAGTTTAAGATCCGCGCTTTTCGCAGGATAAACATTGTAAATAAAAATTATTTTTACGTACTATTATTTATTTTACGTTTTTACATATTATAATTTAAACAATCATTTTTTATATATTTTGTATGGATAAAATTAAATTTAAATGATATTAACATAGATACATAAAATATTTAATATGTGTATCTATTTAAAGAGACTTCTTAATCATATGATTTTATAATTATATGTATTATTATATGTATTATTCTATAACAAAAATTGTATTATTATCTGTAATGCTTCTTTCTAATATATAGGGGATATTAAAACAAAAAATAATTAATATATTATATAAACCTAGTTCAGATACATTCGGGTATCCAAAATATTTTTGTTCAAGTTAGGTTTAGTTTCAATTCTTTAGATACCAAAATTTTGATTGTTGTTTTATATTCATTATCCATTAGGTTTTTGTCAATTTTAAAAATAACTAAGTTGTCCCAGTTTTACTACTAATACAAATATGATATATAATAGAAAGTTATACCACTTTTACAGGTAGACAAATGAATGATACAACTATCATGTTTAAACATGATATAACAATTCAAATGTAATAATACATATTTGTACTAGTTTTTGAGTAATACATTTGTGTACATAGTTGTTTCAGAATTTGAGTTGTACAAATGTGTACATAGTTGTATTTTGACAAGAAAATTAAACATTTTAGTTGTACCATATAAGAAATAAATTTAATTTAGTTGTATCACATTTGTTGATACAAGATTCATCACCTAAACCGCCCGCCGTGAGCTCTGGGTCGTTGGTGATTCATCATGTCCCAGTTCAGGTCAGATGGTTCAACAATCAGATCAATTCAAAGATTTGACTAAGCAAATGGTCAAAGATACTTTTAACCTCGTGTCCTAGAAAAGAGGAAGTCGTTGCTCAACTTAAGTCGTTGCTCAACTTAAGGACGATGTACAACAAAAGGATAATAATTCACGAAGAGGAGGGGAGACTTCGGTCTCAATAAAATGACTTTATCCTCCACTAACACATGGTTTAATCATTATACATCTTTCATTGTGGGATGGTTAATAAGAACGAGGAAAATGAGATTCCTTATGGCCATTGTTGAATCTGAGTATCGTACGGTCGAATGACTGGAAAACTAAACTCGGTTTGTGGGTTCTTCGAAGGCGTTTTATTAATCAAAATTGATAATAGGAAGAGATTACAGAGAGATTCGAGGAAAAGAACAAAGGCCGGAACTTTATGAAAGTCCGACTGGATTACAAAGAGGTTTGATCGATAGCAAAACCCTAAATCTTGTCGTCAATGTTCTTGTCTCAATTTTCGGATCCCTTTTCCTTCTGCCCTTCCTCTTCCCGTTATAGCTCTCGTTTGACCTTTGTGTCTCGCTCGTTCACCCTAGAAAGTTTGGACCTAAACTCGTTTAATGGGCTTTTACGAGTTTGGGGTAAGTCGGTCGGCCGTCATTACCCGGTTAGGTCGGTAGATTACGACAATTAGCTGATTGATCATCATTTAAACCACTCGTTTTCCTGGTAGACTTTGCCTCTGGGCCGATTGTGGACGACGATCGGTTGGGCCTATTTATTTGATGCGCCTAATGGGGAGGGATTGAATTCCTCTCCTGCAGTAAGCCCCCCCCCAGCCCACTGGTGGAGAAGGCGGTTTCTTCACAGTGGGACTGTAAGGGTTGGCTCAGATCATAACTGTCCCGTTCGTTCGTCGTGAGTCCATTGAGCGTCATGCCGCTTCAGATCGATTATTTTTCTATCTTGGAAGACTTGTGACCCTTCGCGTCATGCCGCGTCGTCGCGAGATCGGGCCGGTAAGATAAGGGATTGCTTAACAGGCCCAGTAGGCCTAATAATGGTTTTTCTCTCGAATCCCGCGATTATTTCCTTTTCTCTATAAATAGGAGAGTCTCTCTCCCATTCCTTTTATTCTTCTCCTACCACACAAGGTACTTTCTCTTTCTTCTCTTCTTTCCTTCATTTTTCTTCTTTTCTTTTGGTCTCCATCGGAAAACTGGGCCGATTCACCATCGCTGCCGCTCTTCCTCCCCGGCGGCCCGATCCCCTTATTTTTTTTGAGCCGATCGATCGGTCGGCTGTTCACAAACATGGAAAAGCTTCCGATTTACTTTACTCGCCGTCGTGTCTCCTTTTCTTCAGGGGAGATCGGCCGATTTCTCCGGGGAAGGGCGATTTTTCTCCAATTGCTCGGCCTCTTCTATTTTTTTTTTGCCGATTGGGATTGGAATTAGGTTCTGGTGACTTGGTGATGGCTGATTATAGGTGATTGTCAAGATCTGGAAAGGGAAAGGAGATTGTGTCTGGTTCGGTTTCACCGAATGGCCAGCCGTTCGCTCCTGAGCTACTGTCGGCGGCGAGGAGAGCACATCGCGGGACTTCAGCTGTCTCGGCCGGTGTGGATCTTGGTGTGTTTAGGGTCTCCGGGAACTCGGAGGAATCGAACGGCGGGACTGCTAATGCCCATCGCTCGTCGGTCGCTGCGGAGGAGATTGGATTCGAGGGATCAAATGAAACAGAGCGAGAACCGTCGTTCGGCCGTTCTAGATCTGTGGCGGATGGTGATCGGCCGTCTGACCTTGATGAATCGCTCGGCAGGTTGGCTCTTTTTCGTTATCATCGCGACGGTACCGTCGAGCAACTGCCCGATCTCCCGTCAAAATTCTCTCGGCCGTCTTCCGTTATTGGGCAGGATTGGGGGAAGGTCGAGCCAACCCTTTCGGATTATGACGGGGTCGTGGGGCTTTTAAAGAGGCATCGGGCGTTCGGCGTGACGTTTATGATTTCCCGACCTGATCAAAGGCCTGGGTCGTCTTCTTTTTGCTTTCATTGCGTCTATGAATCATTCTTTGAAGGAGATTCCAGGTTATGGTTTCCTATCCCCCGTCTTATCACCGCTTACTGTTTCCGCCGGGATGTGGCGATATCCCAGCTTGCTAACGGGGTAACGAGAATTGCTGTAGCCTTAATGGTGATGGCTGCGGAAATTAATGCATTGATGGCCGTTCGGGTTTTTGAGGAGTTGACACAAGCGCAACCTCAGCCCGGCAACGTGTAAGCGATTCAGATGTGTTCTGGATTGCATATTCTGACCGGTCATCATTCGAGAACCAAACTTTGGCAGCGCTTCTATTTCTATGTTAGGGCTGATGTTGATGCCTTTGAGGAGCCGCCAGGCGATCACTTCCGTGTAGTGTGGAGCCGTAGTATCGGTATTTTGACGATGCCAAGCGATTGATGTCTCTATGTTCCTTTGACTAATTGTTTATGTTTGTCATTGTTTCTGGTTTTGCAGTTCCTCATCCGAACACAAGGGCGTATCCGGAGAGGTTCGAGGAGGACGTTGCCAAGGTAGCCGCGCTTCAAAAAAACGTGTGGGACACGTTTGATCGTCGTCAAATCTGCCGTCAACGGAAACGAATTGCTGGGGGTTAGTCGCGCCTAACCTTCGCTCGGTCTTCTCTTCTATTATCATCCTTGTAGATTAGTTTTTTTTTTATAAATATTTTCTGTGGGTGACCGTTTGACTGATCTTGTTCTCGTGTGTTGTTTCTTCATTTTTCTTGCGATGGCAGCTGTTTGGAGATCTGATATCCCCTGCGAGCGTACCAAAACGAAAAGGCTGAAACTCTCATCAATGGGGAATAAATCGAGGAACTATCAGAGTTATCGTGATATGCTTAGTGCTCAGTTAGGCATTGGCCAATCAGATGTGATGGCTGCTGCGCAAGGGCGAGGAGACCGCAATTGTAGTCCACAGTGCGGGGACGCAGGGGTTACAGCCGATAGCATTCCGACGGGAGGTTCACCAAACCCGACGTTGGACGACCGTCCGACGAAAAAGAAGAAGAAGAAGGACCGATCCTCCAGAAAAAATCTGATTCTGAGCGAGAAGTCATTCCCGATGATCGTTCGGCCGGCGGGATCGGAGATGCTGGTGACGCCGTTCGGACCGAAGTCTCTCAGGAGACTGTCGGAGTGAATTTGGGTCAATCTCCGAAAGGAACGAGGAAGAGGATGTCGGACGATGGGCTTCCTGGTGTGAGCAAGAAAAGGCAGAAAGATGCTGATGATCGTGTGGCCTCGCCTCAGA